ATAAATCCTCACTATAACCTCCCCATCTCCATAAAAATCCTTACTATTACACCCATCCTCCTAAAAATCCTTACTATTACCACCCTTCCTCCTATAATCCTTACTATGCCCCCCCCCCCCCTTCTTATAAATCCTTACTATTACCCCGTTTCCCCTATAAATCCTTACAAACATTCCTCTTCCTCTATCAATCCTTACTATAACCCCTCTTCCCCAATTAATCCTTACTAATATTCCTTTTCATTTATAAATAATTACTATTACCCCCCTTCCCCCCTTAATACTTAGTATTAACCTTCTTCCTCTATACATCGATACTATATCCCCCTATAAAACCTTACTATTACCTCCTTCCACCTATAAATCCTTACCCCTTTCCCCTATAAATCCGTGCTATTTTGTGATTTTCCTTTAGGCATTTCTTACAATCCTTTTCATGTCATGAATTTAGAATGACCTAATAGACCGACTTAAATTATGATTGTCCACACAGTTTGTGCTAGTCTACAAAGTGCATTATTACCAACCAAAAATTTCAAAATTACCTCCGAGGGGTATTTACCCTAAGTTGAAAACCTGTACTATTTAGAAATATTTCCCACTTTCTCCAGTCAATTTGACCAATAAACAGACGTGTCTCATATATGGTATAGTTTTGTAAATGTATACAGAATCAATTATTCATTATTGTGTTTCAATGAATCTTATTGGCTGAGAATTAAATCATTTGATGCGAATACTGACTTGAAAGATCAAGGGTTAGATTAGAGAAACTCATTCACCTTTATTTAATCAAGAGGAGCCTGATCGGTTAACATAATCAGGAAAATTAAGTTTGTTATGGGGATCGCAGGAGTTCTGGATGATCTTGTTTCGCTAATTAAAACGTAGACAATGAAATGCAAAGTATATGGATCAGCTTTTGATTTGTTTCAGATGAAAAATTATAGAAGAAACATCCTATTTTTTCTCGGCTCGGCTCTGTCAAAACCAGGCCTACTTCCCGGTAAAACAAAACATATGCGCATTATTCACTCAACAATGCGATCATGATGTTGAGTGGTCTTTGAATGAGTAAAGTGACCCACAGAAATAAATGCAACAAAATATCTAATTTCAGACTGTCAGTATTGATTGGAAAATTTGTCAATGGGCATAATGCTCACCCCTAAGTTTTCCAGTCCGTTTTAAGTTGAAAAACTGTATACATGTATAAAGAGTATATGAAATAATGAAATGTGATAAAATAAATAACATATGAAATAAAGTTCTTATGGTGTGGCATCGAAGCTCCTAACGTAGGTTTCAAATTAAATATATTTTAACAATTCTGTTAACGCCATAGTCCATCGACTGTGCATCTTAAAGATTTTTTGACAGTTGAACATTTGAAATAATAGGCTAATAACGTTCATTTCACTCTGTATATGGCGTTGTCTGTCCTCATCAGCTTAATCAGTATATTTCTTAAGTATGCTATTTACATCTATGTACATGTATCTACTTGATCGAAGTGGATTTGTTTTAAAAGGGTTAATCAAAACGTTGGACTAATTGTTAATTAAACAGTTTGATCTTTTTTTGGTGTTAGGCTTTATCATACCTTGAAATTATGAGTTCAAACTTTTAGAATAAAAGAGACACATTTCTCTACAATTAGGCGTTTATTTTGTTTGGCACATTTCTGTAGATTTTGGTGTATAGTTTTCAAAAATTTGAGCAAATAAATGGGCACGGATAATCCGGAAAAAAAATCAATGCTTAGAGCTTTTGCCAAGGACTAGCGGCTGGAACAGATACTAGGTGATCTTAAGTCGTATAAATGGTTCTTATCATCTTCTTAACCTAAGTTTTCTGTTTCCAATCTGCCACTGGTTTTGACAATACAGTATATATATGAAATGAATATAAAAAAATTGAAGAAGGGTTTCCTTATTTTTTAGTGTCAAATTAAGCAAACTATTTGATGAATTGATATTTCTAATGAATTTATCATGTATTCTTAATCATATCATAATGTTCTTTCTACTTTCTATTCATATAAATATTAGCATTTTTATTTTCATAAGGGAACCCATTTGTGGTATTCCTTTCTAAAAATATATTTCTGTATAAAAATATAAAAAAGATCTCAATCCAATTTATATACCATCAACCAAATATTTGGGTGTCTTTTTCTTATTAATACAGTTCAAATTTTTTCGTTGAAGTGCGATTATCTTGAAATTTCAGAACTTAATAAGTATCTTTTCTTCAACCCAGGATATAATAATATCAATTAGCTAACTATAAAATATCTCAAAAATACACGTTGGCTATGTAGACTCTATGTGGAGAATATACATATTGATAAAATATTTTTTTCACCCATGTCTGTCTGTCTAGTAGACCATTCACCTGTACAACTGTTACTGATATTTTAAAGATGGGTTCCCTTATTTTCATTTTTTAAAATGAAAATGCTAATACTTATATGAATAGAGAGTAGAGGTGTTCTAAAGACTTGGACCAGTTTGTCTCACATGTCCATAATTAATTCATAATTGGCTAAATTAAAAGAGACTTACCAGCAGAATTACGATGAGTGGCCGATCAAAAAGGTGAAAAAGTCTTTTTTTTTTCCAGACTGTACATACATGGACATTTATGATTGGCTAAAACTCTTCATTATATGCAATAAGAACAAAATTATATGATTAAGAATATATGGTAATTCAGTTGAAACACCAATTAATCAAATATTTTGTTGAAACGTGGCTGATGAAATTTGCTGCTGTGTTAGCGACTTTTGAAAAAAAAAGAATTATATTTTGATTTGAAACAACATTATTTTTGTGTCTAATTTTAGATTAGAAAGGGTAAATCGTCTGATAATTTACCTACCCACAATAGCACTGCCACAATAGGAGTTTACTAGGGTCATGGCCTGTATGACAGATCCTCCTATTCACAGATGAAGGACAGATGAAGTTGCGCGCGTCTACAGATGAAGAACAGATGAAGAGGAACAGATGAAGAAGTGGGGTGATTCCTACGCCCATTATTGGTAAGTTTATCTTGAAATTTTTAAGACAAACTGTAGCTCATTCAGATTGAGTATTGAAATCTTGACGTCATTTCTTTTCCATCTAACAAATGATAGCAAATTCATTCACACCTGAATTGGCATTGTGTTGCCTCGATGTTTCCACCACCTTTGAACTGGTTGATTCAACATTCTGTGGGCAAACTGTAGCTCCCTCGGCACGAATATTTGGATCTTGAGGTCATTGTCTTTCCTCAAACAATTTATAGTCATATGTTTGGATTTATCGGATTATATTAGGATCCTGTTATGTTATTTATGACACAAGGTATATCACTTTAAACTTAAAGCGTGTCATGAGGATCCTGTTTGAGGATAACAATGACAATTTTTTTGACAAAAAACAGTTAAATCGCTTATTTCTTAAAACTCTTGTGATTTGCATTTTTCTTAGCTAATAAGGACAGCTATATCCTTTGGGAGATTCCACATAGTAAAACGCCAATGTGTTAATTGTGGTATAATTCACTTCTTTTCAAAGATTCATTCAGAGTCACAGATTCAACATCCTTTTGTCCAATCATACCGTGTGCCTTTAAATCTATGTGTGTCCAGAATTCTTCTTGTTTGATAGTGACGACTCTTCTTTTCATGAGATCCTGCCATATGTAGGGAAGACATGATGTATGGAAATAGAAAGTTGAAATGATGTATGGAAATAGAAAGTTGAATTATCTAGTTTGAGATATATTTAAATGGATTATGTGATTTTCGCACAGTTGTAGTAGCTATTTTACGTATATTCAAGACCAAAATAAATCCAGACTAATTGCCACTACCCACTGACTGTATCAAAGATTCAATGTTGTCTTACTCGTAAACATTTGATAAATACAGAATAATTGTCTGTGGTTACTGTATTAAAGGTTCAATGATGACTCCTTAACACTTAATGATCCTACAATTATTTGCCTTGGCCACTGGATCAAAGGTTTGAGATGTACAACTCATTGCCACTTGATAAATCAAAACATATGAACACTGGTTACTGTATCAAAGCTAAAATAGTGTCAAACTCTTAAACACGTATTAAATCTGTCTTAATTCAATTAAAATGCTTATTATTATTTGTTTATATTTCAGCTGTCAGCGGGAACTCGATAGCGATCTTTACTATTGTTTTTGACATGCACCACACGGAGTTAGATGATCACGATAGCACGATTAGTATACATTATTTTTATACTACATACTAGCGTCACCAATGTCCATAAGTCCGCAAGCACATCAGAGTGCAATCTTTGTGAAATTATTATCTAAGAATATACTCTGTTGGAAAAAAAAAACAAATAAAAAGTATTTGTTATGAGTTATTTCAGTTATTTCAGTTATTTCCCTTGTTATTGAAAATGTTTAGTTTTGAGCTCGTTAACAATCTGGAGACAAAAATTATTCTCTTATAAAATCTTATTTAATCTTATTTATTGCCTAGACACCATACACAAATACTGTTCATTGAGCTTAGCTTTCGTAGTGTATGAAATCACCCTTTAATCTCCTAGATTATGGATGCGATTGATTTATGCCAATCCAATTTTCATTGGCCAATCCAATTTTCATTGGCCATTGACCAGTCAACCAAATTGTTGAAAAATATGTTGAAAAATTAATTTTGTGTCTACTTTTAGGTTAGAAAGGGTAAATCGTCTGATAATTTACCTACCCGCAATAGCACTGCCACAATAGGAGTGTTCTGGGGTCATAGCCTGTATGACTTTTCAGACCTCCTATTAACAGATGAAGAGGAACAGATGAAGAGGAACAGATGAAGAAGTAGGGCGATTCTCCACCCATTTTTGTAAGGGTCAACTCTATTACGACTGTCCGGATTGCCCTCAGAAATATCCGGAGGAAATTGCAATAGAGTACGACCGGAGATCCACGATGGCGACAAATGCCGGTATTTTGGTATCAATACTTGAACTATTGGAATCCGAAAATTTCACAGGCCCTAATTAATTATTATAGTCTAAGGATAAATACGAAAAACTTTTTCATTCAGAAATAATTTATTAATGTTGTACAGGTTATGTAGACTTAGGCCTACCGGTACGCTACATTGACTGGGAGTGAGAGGTAATAATTGAATTGAAAATGAAATAGTGATTTAATATTTTAAGATTGAAAGATTATAGTCATGACATCAAGACGGGGTGAACATTATTTAGTCAAAAATAGGACAACGATTCATGCAAGCCTGCATATTTCGTTTTACAAATTAAATTAATTGATAAATCACATTCGCGTTTCATTAATTTTGTATGCATCCCATGATTAATCACGTGATCTCCGCTATCGCACCGGTCTGTAGAAAGGAGAAACGGATATTCCGGATTATCCACGTGACGCGTAATAGAGTGGATTTGGAAGAATCCGGACCAGCCGTTTTTGTAATAGAGTTGGCTTGCCGTACATCTTATTTTAAAAAATAGTACCGTAATTACAGAGTGCGCTGTGTGAATTTTTTGAAAAAGATTTAAAAAACACAGTAGTAATCAGTATGCCCTGGCTCAATAGCGATGCCCATTAAACGCGAAATCTTTAAAATGTGTCCTCAGATGTAGATGTTATGGTATTTTGACTCAATACAATGTTTGTCTTTTATTTTTTTAGCCGTCAGCGGGAACTCGATAGCGGTCTTTACTATTGTGTCCATCACACGCAGTAAGATGACGAACGCAGCAATGTCAGTACCTATTATTTCAGTTACAATTCCTGTTCAATGAGTTTTTCTCACATTGTGAAATCCACCAACAAAAAATTTATTTTCTGTGATGATTTGAGTGTTAGAGTAATTTAATTGGTTTGGTTAATTGGTCAATTAATTCTATGCAATTAGATTCAAATCTACATTTTCTAAAATAACCCCACTGATGAAATGAAAATACAAAGCAACAAATAACATGGGTTATTTGAAAATCTGGATGGAAAAATTTATTGTTTTAATAAAAAAAATATCTGCATGTAGACATATATTGCGTCTCTTTGAAAACCATCTTCGTCTAGTCACAATTCCTGTTCATTGAATTTTGGTACTCGATGAAACTCACTTTTAACAATCTCTCAAATTTAAAGAATTGTATGAAT